GGTGAGGAGGGGGTAGAGAGCTGGGGGGGCAGGGAGGGGTAAGACTGGTGGGGAGGGGGTAGAGAGCTGGGGGGTGTAAAGGGGGCAGAGGGGTGGGTTGGGGATGGGATAGAGAGCTGGGGGGCGTGAAGGGGGAGGGGGCAGAGATTTGGGGGTGGGATGGGGTGATATGGGGGAGGGGAGTGGTGGGGGGTGGGAAAAGGGAATGTGGGGGCAGTAGGAAGTGGGGGCATTGTAAGGGTGGGGGAGGGGAAAGCTCTGGGGGCAGAGAGCTGGGGAGGGGCGAGCTGGGGGAAAGGGATGTGGGGAGGGTGGGCAGGGGACGGGGGGCTGTAGGGGGTGCAGGAGTAGGAGGTGGGTGGGGTAGGGGAATTGGAGGGGAGAGGACGGAGTGACCTGGACCAGCTGGGGGGATGACTCCATGGGGTGGAAAGAACTGGAGGGGAGCAGCGGGGAAGGGGCTCCCCATCCCCATAGGGCCCCACCGCTGACCTGTTCCCGTCTCTCCCCAGCTCCGGGGGGCCCCTGGTCTGGACGTACCCCAGCCCCCTGCCCCGCGCCACCTGTCTGTACAGCACCCATGCTGCCGAGGTAAGGACGTGGGGGGGAGGGCTCAGCAGGGGGGCGTTCTCCCCACACTCCCCATCAATCCCTCTCATCCTGCCCCAAAATCCCGGTGAGGCTGTTAAGCAGCTGCCCCGCCCCAGAGGTGGCAGCATCTCAGCGCCGGGCGAGGGGTTCCTGAATAATCGGTCATCCCACCCCAGAGTTGGCTGCATTCCTATTTAATCCTTGTGTCACCTGGGATCTGGCCTCTGGGAGTTTATCTGGGTGAAAGGTTTTGTTATTGTGGGATGAGTCACGGGACACAAGTATTTAGAGGAAAGGTGACAGCCGAGCTGGGGGCGCGCGGGACCAAGGAAGGCTTAAACATCTGGTCTAGTCCCCTGAGAACAATGCCAGCCCCCCCCCCCCCCGGTCCCCCCAGCTCTGCCGGTGCCCCTCACTCCCAACCCGCAGCCCCCTACTGACGCTCTCTGTCTCTCCCCCCCCCACAGGCTGTGCTGGATAAGGCTGGGGCAGGGACGGCTTCCCAGACTGTATCCCAGAGCAAGTCCCTGCCGGAGGTACGTCCGCCCCACCCCCAAACCCCACTCAGGGTCCCCGGGGTGGGGAAGGGGTTTGTGGATCTGGTCTCTCCTTTGACCTCATTCCCCATCCCCATTTGAGGGGGATCGTGGGGTGGGTTCCCAATTCTCCCCGCCGGGGTCTGATGTGGGGGGCCCCTCTCTGGTTGGAGAGGAATTGGCAGCGCTTGCTGGTGTTTGGGGGGTTTGCCTCCCCCCATTTTCCCCCTGGTTCAAGGCGGAGTTCGAGGGTCCCAAAGGGGAGGGACAAGACCCCAGTTGCCCCCCCTCACTCTGTTCCCCCACACACACCCCAGGAGTCGAAGTCTTTCGCCATCGGGATGTTCCAGGGTCGGATGAGCACGGAGCAGGTGTTCCCCTACCCCTCAGGTAAGGAGGAGCTGGTGTGGGGAGAGTTCTGGGGGGTGGGGAGCTCACTGCCCTCATGGTGCGCTGGGAGGAGGCGGGGGTGCGAGGAGCTGCCCCATTGGCTTGGTGGGTGACTCCAAGGGGGGAGGAAAGGGAAGTTGGGGGCAGGGAGCTTTAACCCTTCCAACCCCATTGGTTCCCCCCATCACTCACCACCTGACTCTTCCCCCCCCCCAGTGCTGACCGAGGAGCAGGTGCAGTTCCTGAAGGAGCTTGTCGGACCCGTCAGCCGTTTCTTCCAGGTTAGGGGGGATGAGTTTGGGGGGGCTGGGGTTGTTTGCGGGGGCTGAAAGGGAAGGCCTGGAATAAGGGGAAAGGGTTGAGTTAGGGGCTGGGGTTGTGTTTTGGGGGGCTGTGGGGAGGGGAAGGGGTTGAGATGGGGGGGAAGGGCTGAGTTTGGGGGGGCAGGCTGGAAGGCCAGCGGGAGACCAGCCAGGTCTGAGTTTGGGGGCGCTGTGTATGGGGGGGTCTGGGGGACAGGTGGGGGGGCAGTGGCCTGGATGGGGGTCCCTTCCTCGGACTCCCCCTCTCTCCCCCCTGCCCCCAGGAGGTAAATGACCCGGCGGCGAACGACTCCCTGGAACGGGTGGAGGACCGGACCATGCAGGGGCTGAAGGAGCTGGGGGCCTTTGGGCTGCAGATCCCCCCCGAGCTGGGGGGGCTGGGGCTGAGCAACACCCAGGTGAGACACCCCCCTCCCCATTCCACACTCCCTTGACCTAGCCGCTGCCCCCTAGAGGGGAAGGGCCCCGCCTCCCCCCCCAGGGGGGCGGCCAGCCCTGTGCTCACCCCTTTCCCCGCAGTACGCCCGTCTGGTGGAGATCATGGGGCTGCACGACCTGGGCGTGGGGATCACGCTGGGGGCCCATCAGTCCATCGGCTTCAAGGGGTTGCTCCTCTACGGGACGCCCCAGCAGAAGGAGAAGTACCTGCCCCGGCTGGCCACAGGTGAGGGGCGCTGGGGGGGGGGGGGCCTACATAAGAACGGCCATACTGGGTCAGACCAAAGGTCCATCCAGCCACTGATGGACCCGTCCTCCATGAACTTCTCTAGTTCTTTTTTGAGCCCTGTTCTTGTCTCGGCCTTCACAACATCCAATTGCGAGGAGTTCCACAGGTTGACTGTGCTCTGTGTGAAGAACAACTTCCTTTTATTTGTTTTAAACCTGCCGCCTGTTAATTTCATTGGGTGACCCCTAGTTTTTATATTATGGGAACAAGAAATAACTTCTCCTTTTTCCCTTTCTCCTCATCACTCATGATTTTATAGACCTCTCTCATATCCCCCCTTAGTTTCCTCTTTTCCAAGCTGAAAAGTCCCAGCCTCTAATCTCTCCTCATGTGGGACCCATTCGAAACCCCTAATCATTTTAGTTGCCCTTCTCTGAACCTTTTCTAATGCCAGTAGATCTTTTTTGAGTTGAGGCGACCACATCTGTACGCAGTATTCAAGATGTGGGCGTCCCATGGATTTAGATAAGGGCAATAAGATATTCTGCGTCTTCTTCTCTATCCCCTTTTGAATGATTCCTAACATCCTGTTTGCTTTTTTGACTGCCGCTGCACACTGCGTGGACGTCTTCAGAGAACTATCCACAACGACGCTAAGATCTCTTTCCTGATGCGTTGTAGCTAAATTAGCCCCCATCGTATTGTATGTAGAGTTGGGGTTATTTTTCCCAATGTGCATTACTTTACATTTATCCACATTAAATTTCATTTGCCATTTTGTTGCCCAATCACTTGAGTTTTGTGAGATCTTTTTGAAGTTCATCAGAATCTGCTTTGGTCTTAATTATCTTGAGCAGTTTAGGATCAGCTGCAAACTTTGCCACCTCACTTTTTACCCCTTTCTCCAGATCATTAACGGGGGAGTGATAGGGGTGTGTGGGGAAAAGGCAGAGGTGTGGGGGCTGGGGAGGGCTGGATTGGGGAGGCAGGGAGGAGGGGTCGGGATAGTGGCGGGTACGGGAGGATTGGCATGGCAGGGAGGAGGGGCGGGGATAGCGGGGGTACGGGAGGATTGGCGAGGCAGGGAGGAGGGGCGGGGATAGCGGGGGGTAC